CCTTAGACAGAGGCTAGTGCATCCTAAAAAAAAAAAACAGACCTGACCATGAAGTCAAAGCAGCAGTCTAACCCCCCACCCCAACCCACACCACACAAACACCAGATTTATATGTATCTAGTCTTAATAGCAGCTTTTTAACATTGAGGAAATAAATACTACTTATGACTCAAGTGTTGGATACAAAACAAAACAATTCTACTGTTTCTAGCATATATAAAATGTAACTGCATAATCTGCACTGGCTCAGATGGGGTTGGATGGAGCTGCTTTTGATTCTTGGCACTGCTACACTACCCTTGTGTTTTGTGAGATAATTCAGTGAGTAAGAACAAAAGGTAGACTCTAGAAAAATATTTGAACTGTAATAAGTGTTACATGTACTGCTAACTACGCATTTGTCAGTATTGTTCCTGTTATATATAAAGACTACTCTGATCGTCGGTGACTGCAGTATTTTAACCTCTACAAATGGAGAAGGTGAGATAGTTGTGGTGGAATAATAGCTCTTTTTAAACAATTTATGGTCAGAATTTCGATAGTGCATGTAATAATATCAAATTTTTGTCTCTTTGCCTTCTTTCTAGATTGTGTTTTATGAAGGTCAGGACTTCCAGGGAAAGTCCTACGACTGCAAAGGAGACTCTGCGGACCTGTACAGCTACATCCATCGATGCAACTCTGTAAAGGTGCATGGTGGATGGTGGGTCCTATATGAGCGCAGCAACTTCTCAGGTTACCAGTATATTGTTGGTCCGGGGGAGTACAATGTCTATGGTCAATGGATGGGCTTTAATGACTGTGTCAGATCCTGCAAGATAATCAAAAATGTGAGTCTACAAAACACATAGTACAGTAAAAACTACTATTGCATACAATTAAACAAACCTCTTTTTGCTGTTTTACAGTCCAAGGGTCCATTCAAGTTGAAGCTCTATGGTCAACCAAACTTTAATGGCCAGACTCTGGAGGTGACAGAAAATATGAAGTCCTTGAGAGAAAAATGGCTTCAAAAAGTCATGTCCTGTAAGGTCCTTGAGGGTTCCTGGGTTTTTTATGAACATCCCAACTTCAGTGGTCGGCAGTACCTGTTGGAGAAAGGGGAGTATGGAAGTCCCTCTGAGTGGGGAGCCTTGACGGCAACTGTTGCTTCTATCAGGAGAATCATGGAGCTGCCAAAATCAGACAGCTAGAAGTTCTCACGATGCTTCAAATAAATGCCATCAACTGTAAGATGTTCTGTTCTTGTGTTTTATTATATGTTTCATATGGGTTTCTCAGTAGGCAGCACATTTACCTTGAAGCAAAAAGCTCCATAGTTTGAATCCATCACAAGGTCTTTCTGGCTGCAGTCTGAATGTGCTCATGTCTGCAAGCACAACTGAGTCCATGGGTTTTCGTTAAGTACCCCAGCATTCTAACCAGGCATAAGCTAGATTCAGGGGGGATTTACCATTAGGCAATACTAGGCTGTTGCCTTGGGCCCTAAGTTCCTGGGGACCCCTAATAAAACTCTTTTTACATGTATGATTAATACAACTACTCCTTATTTGTGCAGATCAATTATGTTTTTGATAAAAATCCTTTCACCAAAAATGCCATCAGAATGCTTTGGATCAGTCCATTTCATGGACATATTGAGAAAGTTCATAATGAAGGGTGCAGGTGGCGCAGTGGTTAGTGTGCCTGACCCATGTACAGAAGCATCAGACCTGGACGTGGCCGACCTGGGTTCGAATCCAGCCTGTGGTCCTTTGCTGCATGTCTCTCCCCTTCTCTCATACCCTGCTACTGTCAGAAAAATGAGCCACCAGTGCCATAAACACTCAAAAGCAAAATTTATTTTTTTTAAAATAAAAAAAAAAGAGAGAGAAAGTTCCAAACAGACAGCAGCAAACCATTTGAAAACAAATGGTGCAAAGAGCAGTGTTGCCAAATTAGCGCATTTGTTGCTATATTTAATGACTTTTCAGACTCCTTTAGCACTTTGATTTCAATAAAGCACCTGGCGCCAAATCTAGCATCTATTTTCTGCTACTGGAGACTTTGGAGAAAACATCTAAAAGCAGCGAACTCTGCTCTCCAGAGCAAGTAGATTGGTAATAAGATGAGCAGATTATGGCTTGTCTACAGTGAAAAGATGGACTACTTAGTGCTTGGAAAAAAGCTTTCATTCCTTTAGAGACAGCATGAAAAGTCAGCTGAGTACAAAACATAGAGAGGAAAACAAGAAAGGGACAAGAAGAGAGGGACACAACATAGAGCAAATAATGGATGTCTATTCTTAAAAATGTCTGTATCTGTATATTGGGTCTGTTTTATGTGTTGTCTTCTACATTCAGGCCCCATGCCTGACTTAATTTCAATTCTACACGGTAGCAATATGTAAATCCTTATGTAGAAAGTGTTCACAAAAAGAAAGGGACATTCAATAAAATTCTTCAAGCTTGTAGGGTAAGTGCCTCCCATGACAAGTTTTTATCCAATCACAGCAGCAGTAGGAGCTGTGGTGTATCATATCAACACTAGAAGCCCCAGATAATTTCATTTTTTCTGCAAGCCCCCCTCCCCTCTTCAAGTTTGTGTATTGACTCTACCTTGCTAACTGTTCCTATTGTAAAGCAAATACCTGTGGTATGACCAGCCCTTCTACATGTGACTGAAACAAACTGGCATTAGGCCCCGTCCACACGAAGTCAAAATGAACACCAAACGCTAATATTTTCCAGAACGTTTGTCTTAAAGATGGAGACGTAAAATAAATGTGAATGCATGTTGTTGTGATACT